TCCCGGCCCACTCTGGGCTCCCTCTATGCTTCCTGATTAAGATGCTGTCACAGATAAATCATGACTTCTGCCTGTTAGGACCATTTTCTTTTTTAAAGAAAAGTTTGGAACTACAAGATTAAAAAGATGAGCAAGTGCCGAAAAACAGTTTGGCTCAGTGGATAGAGCATCGGCCTGTGGACTGAAAGGTCCCAGGTTCGATTCCGCTCAAGGGCGTGTACCATGTTGCGGGCACATCCCCAGTAGGGGGTGTGCAGGTGGCAGCTGATCGATGGTTCTCTCTCATCGATGTTTCTGGCTCTCTATCCCTCTCTCTTCCTCTCTGTAAAAAATCAATAAAATATATTTTTTTAAAAAGATGAGCAAGTTCTGGAGAATTATAAATTCACCTATAAATATGGCTGGCATCTCTTCCTATTATATAACTTTTCCGAAGTTGCCTCCCCTTTATTTCTATATTTTTGTGCATTTTCTGTCAGTCACTTTCAATCAATCACTGGAGTACAGAGGTAACTTCCTGCTGCGCAGACTAGTGGAAGAGGGGGGAAGAAAAGGTTCTCCTTGTTGTATGGAGAATTATAAATTCACCTATAAATAGTCACAGAGATAAGAGTTTCAATTTTAAAGACAATGGACATCCAAAATGAACCAGTGTAGTTTCTGTGAGTCCCCATCTTGGCACACAAATAAGTAGCTCGTCAGGAACCTGGGACTAGCCATTATCTTGGCCCTTTGCTTGGAGGAGAGACCAAACTGCAATCTGGAGCGCCAGCAGAGAGTGCGTGATCTGTTTTGCCATTTGACACACACAGCCCTTTCAGAACCATGAAGTAAAATGAATGATCCAGTGAAAGTAATGAAGTCAAAGCTGTATTAAAACTGAGAAGTCTAAAAAGGACTAATTCCAATGTAAACCTGATATTGGGGGGGAGGGAGAGGAGGAGCATGGGGGGGAGACTAGTAACCTGAATCTGTGCTAGCAAGCCCAGTGTATATTCTTGATAACCTATAATTAAGTCAATGCCTCTTTCCCAGAAACTGGTCTTGCAGAACCTGTTATCTAAATACAGAGACCATAAAACTGAACAGTGCACTGCCCCAGAGGGAGGGATTATTAATGCTGGAGCCAGGCCAGACCATCAGATACAGCCTGGAGACCCCCAACATCTGTGACCTTCTTGCAAAGCTGCGAAAAGGACCAAAAGCATAATCTATATTTGCGGGACAAAGACCCCAGAAAGATATAAAAGAGAAGCCCCCTGCATGTTACTTTACTCAGATTGGGGAAGTTATTCTGCTGAGTCCGCAGGTATATTAAACAGTGTAACTCCTTTTCTCTGAAAGTGTTGCTTGGTTTTTCTCTGGTCTTCTGCAACAAAACCACGTTAGTATCTACTGCCCAGCTGCATCTCTGCCTCCCTCACCAAACTCTGGGTTTGGTCCGAGGGGGACACCCAGCATGAAGGGCCTTGCCAGACTGCTCCTCTCCACTCTGTTCCACCTGCCAGGGGATCCAGCTCTCCATGCAACATCCCCAGGCACTATGAGCTTTCTTCCCACCCGAACCTGCCCCATCTTGGGGTCAGGGCCCTGGCCATAAAAATAAATGAAAGGGACATTCTTTGTTTGGTATACATGATTCTGTACCCTTTTGCCCTCCGGCATGCTGACTTAGCAAGGCCACAGTGAATTCTCATGCTCTGTAACTGAAATCATATCATTTCAGATTTGGGATCTTTGCCACCTGCATGCTTTCCCATTTGCCTTCTGTTTATTGTTGCACTTTGATGTTCAAAATCCCAGCCTGAGCTCCTGCAGACATTTTGCCTCAGCAATTAGTGTCACATCAGTGACTCTCCTGCTTGGTGAGTCATTTCCAAAAGATTTTGTGTCTTCTCACTAATGGCGATTCTTTTCCACAGGCGGATGCCATTGCAGTGCCCACAGTTATGTAGGATTAATCAGGGGTCCTCAAACTTTTTAAAGTGGGGGCCAGATCACGGTCCCTCAGAGAGCTGGAGGGCCGGACTATATGAACTACTAATTCCTACTGTAACACCTCGGCTGCGCTCACTGCCCAAAAAACCTGGCGGGCCGGATCAGACTCCTCTGCGAGCTGCATGTGGCCCGCGGGCCGTAGTTTGAAGACGCCTGATTCTAGTTCAATGGTGAAAAATACCTCGTGTGAGATGGAACAAAATAGGGACCCTCAAAGAGGATACTTAAAATTACTCTATGAAATTTCAGTTTGTGGGCTCTTTGAAATGTTGGTTTCAAACCTTGTGAAGAATTTACAAATGAAACCCATGAGATCGTTTTTTAAAAATTAGCCATGATAAGGAATTAAAAAAAAAACACCATGGTTTTCATGCTTTGTTAACTGAGAAGATACAGCATCAGGTGTAAAATAAATTTCTTTTTAAAAATGTATTTTTTATTTATTTATTGATCTTTAGAGAAAGAGAAAGAGAGAGGGATAAAGAGAAACAATGATGTGAGGTTGGAACATTGATTGGCTGCCTTGTTGCACGCCACCTATTGGGGATGGAACCCTGACCGGGAATTGAACCACCAACCTTTTGGTACATGGGACGACATCCAACCAACTAAGCCACATTTGCCAGAGCTAAAATACACAGCTCCTTTCACACGTCTCTGTAGAATGCCCTGGCTCTTTCCATTTAGTTTAATAAGAAAAGATAATAGGAGAACTATCTAGCAGAGGTAGAGAGTCCGTCATACCAAAACTAAGTGGGGGGTGAGCAGGACACAACTCTAATTTGGTGGTAGTGCCACTAACATTTCTACATGTTAATTACCTTATGATAAAATAGCAGGTATCTAATCTTAGAGATAAGTGGCCAAGAAAAACAGATGTGAAAAGTCAGGAATAATAAACAATGTGGCTGAAACCAGTTTGGCTCAGCAGTAGAGCGTCGGTCTGCGGACTGAAAGGTCCCAGGTTCGATTCCGGTCAAGGGCATGTACATTGGTTGCGGGCACATCCCCGGTAGGGGGTGTGCAAGAGGCAGCTGGTTGAGGTTTCTCTCTCATCGACGTTTCTAACTCTCTAGCTTTCTCCCTTCCTCTCTGTAAAAAATCAATAAAATATATTTAAAAAATAAAAATAAAAAAAATAAACAATGTGATGCGGTAATATTACTCTCTAAATTCCTATTTTCAATTTAAACTTTCTTTTGAACCTAAAGATTTCAAAGTGTTTCATAGGGAGAATAAAATATGCTCAAATGATTGTGAATCAATAATGAAACAATTAAATCAACATGGAAAAGCATATGAGTGTTCTTTCCAGCATTTACTATCACTGATCACATGGGAAGGGGTGTTTACTTTGGGTTCATTCCAAAGTAGCTTTGCAGACCAGCACCAAAGACTTATCAGCTCCACAGATCCATGTCTGCATCCTCCTAAGCTTTACCTACATAAAAGAAATCTATTGCAAGAATAATTTATTCATGCCATTATAACTTAAGTGTGCATAAAAAAACTGAATATCATTAAAAAACAATTTAACACGTGCCGTCAAGGTCAGTTTAGCAACGGAAGATCTTCCTGACCCAACAGTTGCACAGCTTATTCAGAGGTACCAGGGTCCAGGATGGGAGGAGAGGACAGAAAGAAAAGAGAGTTGAGGGTCCTCTTATAATTAAAGGTACATCATTTTTGATTTTTCATCTAATCTTTCATTATTAAATAAAACTATATTCCAATTGTAATTAAAATAATCTATTTTAGATTATTTTAAACTTTGACTTTATATGATTATATATTGAATAGATAACATAAAACAAAAATCAATTTACTTTTGTTATTTATAATCATTAAAAATTGCATTTCTATCTTCAAGACAGTATTCTAAGTTTTGGGGAGTTTTTTGTTTTGTTTTGTGTGTGTGTGTGTGTGTGTGTGTGTGTGTGTGTTTAGGTTAATGTGACAGGGCTCAACAGTTCCTAAAAGTGCTAAAACCAAGTGGTAGATAAGCCTGAATCTTAATGATTGTGAGGTCCTTAAAAAACAATACTGTGTCTTTAATGGAGTTACACAGAGTGAGAAAGTAAAGCAGTTTTGCTTTCCCTGCATGTGTTTCTCATTTGAAGTTAGAAACGAAGTTCAGTCTGATTGAGCTGGGTAGGGGGTAAAGAATTTGCCAGATTTTACACATGAAAGCAAATGCTTAGAAGTGGAATTAAAAGTCAATGTACACTAAACCTTTAATGTTAACTGATGCCAGCCCTAATCCATACTCAGAAAGTGAAGTGTGCACATTCACAGCCAGGGCACTTGCTTTCTTGCCAGGAGCAGGGGCCCGAACACCAGAGCTAGAGCCATTAGCACGTCTTGCTCAGAATTCAGTGGTCTGCATGTGTCACATGCATCTCAAGACAGGGATGTTAGGATGGAAGGTGATTTACAAAACTCCATGGCCCAGACCATGGGGTCAGAGCAGAAAACGGTGATTCATGGAAACCTCATGATATTCATCATTGTAAAAAAAAAAAAAAAAAAAGATTTTCACAGCCAAATGTTTGAGAAAGTCAGAGTTAATCAAGGTTAAACATGTTTCCTTCCTGAAGGACTTCTGCCAGGCTTCAGTATTTCGATGTGCAAGGGAGTTTCCTAGTTACTGGGCCTGAGAGCCCTCTTTAAAGAGCTATCTATCTATTAGGTTGTGGCTAGATACTGTGTTCCATGGGGTACAGTTTGAGAAACAGTGAGAAAAACATTATCATCTGTGAATTATAAATGAGGGAATGGAGGCCCATGAAGATTATGTCCTCAGGTCTCAGGCTTCTAGTGCCAACTTTCTCAGGGCATGATAAAAAATCTGAGAAAAAGCACACTGTAACCATGGTTCTTAGAAACATACATACCCGAAGAGGCTCCTAAAACTAAAGTTGAAAGTATGCTACATAATGCACTCTTCTGGTCCCATCAGAGCACACAAACACCCCCATCCCCACCCCCCAAATCATGAGTACCTGGTACAGAGGCATGCAGATGCTATCGATCCACTCCAGTTGCAACCGAGGCAGTTCATCTTTCCGGTTCCGATCAAAAATAGCCTAGGAGGGGGGAGGAGAAGCTTGCTTTATCACATCCGAGAGTTTTACTGGTGCTTTGTCAAACACTTTGCCACAATGACCCAATTTTTACCAACTGAGCACTTCACAAATCACAATCAATCTTTACCCATGTTTTCCTTTCTTTTATCTATGATGAGAAATGAAATATATTCACCTCTTTTTATGAGATTTGTAAGTGAAGTTATTTGAACTTTACAGCATGCAACTCCTTGGGGCCAGTATCGGTCTCCAGATACAAGCAACTGCCACTAAATCAAGTCACCAGGTCACTGGGAACTGGGCACAAGTTTTATTGCCACCAAGCTAACGGAGGCTTTTATTTTTACAGGAAAGAGGGCGGGATAGATTAGAAAAGAGCCTTGAAAACAATTTCATCTTAAACAGGGACTATTTGTATTAATTTTTTAAGGTTGGGTGTTGATGTGGCAGTTCTGTGTGTGCTTTAATAAGGTTCTGTCTGTCATGAATAAATTCCCAATTTTTTAAATCTATCACTGAATGGACGATGTTAGGAGGTACCCATTCTCTCCCCATTCCCAGCCTTTAAACTTTATGATATTATAATGTTTAGAAAAGTTGGCTATGTTTGTGAGAAAAAGAAGTGACATATATCTATGTAGCAGATATGAAAAGGGAAACAATCAGTAGGAATTGGAGGGGTAAAATGGATTCCTTAATATTGACATTTTATGCCAGGGAGAATGTCCATTCTTTGTTTTCTTTTCTTTCTTTCTTTCTTTCTTTCTTTTCTTTTTTTTTTTTTTTTTTTTTTTAATAATATGTTTTATTGATTTTTTTACAGAGAGGAAGGGAGAGGGACAGAGAGTTAGAAACATTCATGAGAGAGAAACATCGACCTACTGGGGATGTGCCCACAGCCAATATACATGCCCTTGACCGGAATCGAACCTGGGATCCTTCAGTCCACAGAATGACGTTCTATCCACTGAGCCAAACCAGTTTCGGCCCCTCCTTTGTTTGTAAGGGCGAAGATCAGGGTCTAAGAAACAACTGACCTTGCCCCGAGTTCCTGTCTTTCCTCTAGATAGAATGTGCCATCCCTCTCATTTTGGTGTTCCATAGGTCATGAGGGGAGATTCAGGCCACCCCTTAGGAATGTAAATTGGTGCAGCCACTATGGGAAAAAGTATGGAGGTTCCTTTAAAAATTAGGAATAGAGTTATTATAGGACCCAGCAATCCCTCCTCTGGGTATCTACCTGAAAATTTTGAAATCATTTATTCATAAAGATATATATAATCCTTGATCATTGCAGCATTATTCACGGTGGCCAAGACATGGAAACAACCCAAGTGTCCTTCGATACAGGATTGGAAAAAGAAGATGTGGTACATAAATACCATGGAATACTACTCAGCCATAAGAAAAGATGAAATATTGCCATTTTTGACAATATGGATAGGTCTTGAGAATATCATGCTATGCAAATAAATCAGACAGAAAAAATCAAGATCTGTATGATCTCACTCATATGTAGGATATAAAAACAGAAAGCAAAAAAACCCAACAACAACAACAACACAGAAACTGTTTCTTTAAAGGGAAAAGTTTTTATTTGAATACTAGAGGCCTGGTGCACAACATTCGTGCACTAGAGGGGTGGGGGCCCCTCAGCCCAGCCTGCACCCTCTCACAGTCCGGGACCCCCTGGGGATGCCCTACTGCAGTGGAGGCAGGAGAGATTCCCATCACTGCCACTGCACTCGCCAGTCTTGAGCTCGGCTTCTGGCTGAGCAGCACTCCCCCTGTGGGAGCACACTGACCCCCGGGGGAAGTTCCTGCATTGAGCATTTGCCCCCTGGTGGTCAGTGCACATCATAGTGACCAGTTGTTCCGTTGTTCAGTCAATTTGCATATTAGCCTATTATTATAAAGGATAGATATGTGGCTAAGAGAAATTTGGGTTGAATTAGGTTTTACACATGAACTATGTATTTCAATTTAGTATATTATTATAACCAAATCTGGTGACACTAAAAATAAAGGCATATTAAAAAATATATACCTTTGAAAACTGGGTGGGTGTTTTAACCTATTCTGCACCTTTTAAATAAATGAAAATATACTATGTGCTCTTTTGTGACTTGCCTCTTTCACTTAGTATGTTTTCAAAGTTTATTCCTGTGGCATGCATCAGCTCTTCATTCATTGTTATTGCTGAATGATATTCCACTGTATAGATGTATTGCCTATTATTTATCCAGTTACCATTTGATGGGCATTTGGATTGTTTCCACTGTTTGGCTATTATGAATATTGCTGCTATGTAGTCTTCTGACCTTTCAGAGGTAAGCAACAGATTAAGGAGAGTTAAAATTACTAAAACTGTCTATTCTGACTTCAAGTAGGTAAAACTGTTTAAGCTAGGACTTAGTTCTGCTGCTTTTCCCTGCTTTTAAATGTGAATTTAAAAAAAGGGGGATCTTAAAATATTCAAAACTCAACATTTCCTGAGTTTCCTTGAATCTGCTATGCTGTGCCAGGCATTAAAATACCTTGCACATTTCTTGGAGCCAGTGAGTTTTTAGTTAACCATTCATTAAGAAAAAAAGAGGCTGCCTCCTCTTTGAGGCATTTGTATCTTTTGTATCCTGATGAGTAAAAATGGCACCAGCCTGAGCCTACGGTAAGCATTCTCAAATAATATTTGAATGGATATGTAAATAACAATTCAGTCAGCCAGAACCTAAATCTCCAGGAGGAACTTTTCATTTTGTAATGTTCAAAACTAGAAAATAAAATCTTCAGCACCCATTATTTACAACAGCTGCCTGTTCTAGTTTCTCAAGGCTAGGCAGCTTGCCTTTAATTATTTTTTTCTGTAATTGTATTCCATAGTACCCATGGACCACTGTGGGAAACCGCCCATTGTCTTCACTAGCAGAGAGCTGTGGACAAGGATCCCGGAATGCTGGTGACCCTTGAGCCCTGGCAAAGGTCAACACTATGCACCCACTGTTTAGTCGAGACAATGGTAGCTGAAGCAACTTCCCCACCAGACAGTCATGTAAATCCTTACTTATAGTCATGACTCACAGTCTTGTAGTCTGCCTGTTACTGGAAATTGCCTGCCTAAGGGCTATAGGTCTATCCCAAATTGAATAAAAACAATGGCTTCCTCTTGGGATGGGCTCCCGCCTGCCCCCCTCCCCCCCAATTTCCAAATTATTACTTCTTGTCTTGTCTCTTTCATTTGCATGCAGCCCCTTCTCCAGATCCTGAACCCTGAACCACACAGGACGTGGGACATTCACAGACCACATCTGAAATACCAGCTCTGGGCTCTGAGTTATTCAAATGCCACTCTGCACATTCTCTCTTGTGCCTGCTCATCCCCCTGTGGGTGCTCGGGAAATTCTTGTTAAGTAGCTCACCACTCTTAATCAGACACCTGGGAGTAAGAGTGCTTAGCATCTAAGCTTAATTAAAGTTTTAAACTTTCAGGAGTGCTTCCTTAAATCTATTCTTAATTTCCCTCTTTTCAAATTGTGGTTTGGAGTCATTATTTTTTTTAAATGTCACTCAAGAGGGTAGATGCATCATAATAAAAGGATGAGCTTACTGAAGGGGTGAGTTTGAGTTCTGATCTCTCCCGATCTCCTTGTTCGAAGAACTCACTGGTTACAAGTTCAGCCACCTGAAACATGTAAATATTTCAATTTATGGCTATGTTTATTTAACCACCATTCTAAGAAGTTATTTCTGGCTTATGTGTATGGCAATTATCTTCAACACACAATCATTTAAAAGGCTTATGAGGAAGTACATTAACCTTTTGTGTTTGAAGGTATTATAGAAATTAATCAATGAAACAGATTTCCTTTTCATCAGAAGAACCAGTGCGGTGTAATTTTAGATGCATGCCAGTAGACAATTTCCAACAGCATGTATAGCTGGCATATTTAGGATGAAGCAAATAATAAGCTAATAATACTTATTATATTATTAAAATATATTTGTTATAATAATTAGCCCACTTCCAGTTGTTTCTATGTAGATTCTTTACATTGTTGCACACTTTTAACCTGGTTGAATCTTGCTCTCACAAAGACTCCTGAACTGCCTCACCCGACCAACATCTGTGTGCATTCTGGAAGGAGTAACCCTGGGCGCACCCCTGCTTTCTGCTGGGGGAACCAGTCAAGGGGCAGGAGTAATGCTAGAGTTTCTGCTCAGACCAGTTTACAGTATGTTATGAAATAATTTGAAGATCGTAATTTGCTCTTCAGGCTGTCTGAACCTATGTACTAAAAGTGTTCAGTTATGGCAGGTTCTAGTTGGTCTGAGCACAATGAAATGACTATTCTACCCCAAACCGTAGATATTTGTCCAAAGCAAAGACCTGTTTTTTCCACTTCTCATTCACTAATGTGGATGATCAGAAGTTAGTGATCATAGTCAAGCTAAAGAACTCTTTTCTGAGTCCTATGCTTCTAAGGGTAACTTTATGGGAAACAAATTGACATACTAGGTTAAGTGTTGAACAGTTATTTGCAACAACACTGTGGTGTGCATGTAGAAAATCTCTGAGATGAGCTAGCTGGACTTACAAAAGATTGGAAGAGCAGAAACACACACACACACACACACACACGCACGCACACACACACAAAATAAAACAACAACAACAATAACAACAACAACAACATACACACACACACACACACACACACGAAAAACAAAAAAAACACACAAACCTAGACAACCTGATGTCAAGAAGACCTGGATCCCATACTAATTTTTCCCTGTTCTAGACTCTTATAAAAGGTGAGGTTCTTAGATCTGGCAAATACTTGAATGGCCTCATTTTGGTTAAGTGCATAGAATGAATATATTGAAATAATTACCTAAGTGTATCTTTTAAGAACTTTGTCAACCATAAATCATAACATTGATAAAATATAAAAACATCACACACACATACACACACACACACACAGAAATCTGAGAGTAGCAAGTATACAGTCATTTATAAAGAAATAGAATATTTAGTCAGTTCAGATTTTAAACATTTAAAAAATTCAACAGCATAAAACTAGCTGGAACTGACTAAGTTTTTCTGGGACTTGTTCCACTTCTCTGCTCTCCAGTCTCTGCCACTACCTTTCACTTCAGTGCTCAGGTCTGTGTCGTTTGTCTCTGGCCTTTTAAAGGAATAAATGGTCCCCTCAGGGCCTGGCCTTATTTACCCAGTCCCCAGCACTCCCCCTCAGATTGCTCTGAGGTGTGTCTTTTGCACCGAAGAACACAAGTGTACAATCAGGTCACCCAAGGCGGGGGTCCTCTGTAGGTGTGTAGCCTCTGGAAAGCACAGAAATTAAAACAAAATCTTGTCCTGGATCTTTCTAAAGTGGTCCTGGGTGTCCCCCCATGCATCTTTCGCAGCTCAACTTGTACCACTGTGTTCTTTGTACTTAAAAACCCAAGCAGTAACATTAAGTGGCTCCTGATTGAATTTATATTAAAGAGGGAAATTGAGATGCTAATCAGGCCTTGGGGGATCACTGGGGAAATCCACATGCTTGCAATCATGTTTGTGAGGAAGGAAAAGTAGAATAGACACCAGTAAAAACAAAAAACAAAAAACAAAACAAACCCCACAAAACTTTAAGAGGGAATTAAAAAAATAAAAAACCTTCTAGGAAATTAGAAATACATTTACGTTTTTACTTATTCTTATTTAAGTTTTTAATTTTTTTTTTTTTTTTTTAGAGAGAGAGGTAGGGAGAAAGAGAGCAAAACATCAATTGGCTGCCAGCTGCATACCCCCAGCCGAGTGTGTTCCTGTCTGGGAATGGAACTGGCAACCCTTCAGCACATTGGACAATGCCCAAACAGCTGAGCCATACCGGCTAGGACCATTTCTGTTTTTAAAAGAAGGTTCCACTGTTTCTGTTCAAATGGTTCCTAAAATAATGAAAGTGACTTTTAAAAAAGTATCTTCACCTATTCAATTTAAAGACAAACAAATGAGATCTCCAATTTAGAGGTGTGACAAGATTCTAATGGAAGCATTTGGAAAAACATGGCGTTCGGATTTATTTCCTTGAGCTCTTGAGATCCTGCATTTATCAGCAAAGTTCACATCCTCCAATTAACATAATATTTACATCAGTGACCAAGTAGACCATCTACAAGTGGCCATTGGCCTCTTTGGTCTAAATATCAAGCAGAAACTTTTTCCTTCCTAATACTTTGTCCTGTCACTTTCCTGCCCCCCAAGCGGCTCCTGCTCCTTTAGTTCCTTCTTGACATGCATTTCCCTGGGGTTTCTGAAGGCCCTGGCACATCATCCCTACCCCCTCCATTTCCAATCTTCTCTATTTTTCCTCTGGCCCCCCTAACTTTCTCCCACTCTCCACCCCTCTACCCCCCTTCCATCCCTACCATGGTGCCACCTCCCTGCCAGGACTACATTTCCCCCAATGCCTGGAAGAACCACCTACCTCTTCTCTACAGTTTATTCTCAGACTTCACTGCAAGAGAGGCCTTCCCACACTGGGAAGTGAAGGGTGGGCAGAGATGTAAAAATAAGCTCCACATCCACACCAGTTGTGTGTTTGGGGTGCATCAGAAGCTATATTTTGGGTGTATGTAGGTCTTTAACGTAGAGATTAGCAAATACCACCCAGAGATCCTGACCGTGGAGCTTGAGACCATGACTGCTAGGGCATTTGGTCATCTCCCCTGGGGAGTGAGTGAGCATGTTTTGCCTTTTGCCTGCAGGAGGAGAGTGAATCATATTTTTGATGATTAAAAGAGCAAATTGTGGTAGTCATGTTTTCAATAATTATTTCTGGCCTTTTAATTTCTGGGCACATGGAAGGATTATAGTTCCTGATTGGGCAGGGTTTTGTGACAAGTTCTGGCCAATGAATTGTTGGAGGGCGGGGGGATTTCATTTCCACTGCAAGACCCACAGTGCGTCTGCTGTAATGATACAGACGGTGGCTGCCCCGTTAGCCCATGTCCAGAATAAGGACAAAGAGGTAAGTGCCAGCCCACCCTGGATGCACACATTCAGGAGTCATTTGTCGGTTTAAACCACTGGAATTTTGGGTTTAGTGGCAACATCACCTATCCTGCTGACACGCATCATTTAAACTGCTGACTGAGGCATCCTATAAAAGGAAGCATAAACTGCTGGGAAGAATGAAGGCGTTGGAGCCTAATGTGCTCCACCATTTGCAAAGCCTCATTTTTCCCATTTGTGAAATAGGGATAATTATTGAATTAGTTTCTCGGGGCTGCCATAAATGACCACACACTTGGTGGCTTAACACAACAGAAATTTATTCTCTGAGGGTTCTGGAGGCCAGGGGTCCAACATCAGTTCACTGGACAGAAATCAAGGAGTCAGTGGGGCCACCCTCCCTCGGGAGGCTGTAGGGAGAACCTATTCTTTGCCTCTTTCACTGCCAGCATCCCTTTGTTTGTGGCTGCCTCACTCCAATCTCTGTCTTGTCCCCACATTGTCTTCTCTTCCTCTCAATGTGTAATCGCCCCGTGCCTGCCTCCTATAATGCCACAGGTGATTGGGTAAAGACACCTGGAAAATCCAGGATGATGATGATGATGATAACGATAACGATATTGATGGTCCTTAACCACATCTGCAAAGACTCCTTTTCATTTAAAGTGAAGTTTACAGCTTCCAGGGACTGGGACCTGAGATCTCTGGGTTGCCATTATTCAGCCTACTATAGTAACCACACCTACTTCAAAGTGGGTTTTGAGGATTTAAATGAGATCACACATATATGTATATAGCCATCATTTAACATTTGTTATTTACTTATTCAATCATTCAATATTAGGTATGCATTGTTATGTGAATGAATCATATTTCCCTAAAATATGAAGTCTTAAGACACCAAGTCACTATCTTAGACCTCATAGTTCACATAGTAGGTGCCTCATAAAACTTAAAGAGATATTAACCTCAAATCCTATTAGTAATCAAGAACTTAAAATTGTATAATCATGGCTTGAAAACTATTCTTGTTTTAGAACTAACAGTTTTTTGGCAGTGAAACCAGATAGTAAAGGCATAATTTTTGGGGTACAAATTAATTTGGATACTGCACACTATGGCCAAAGAGCTCTCTGATCTTGAAATAGTAATTAAAAAGAAAAATAGAACTTTTTATTTACCTCCTTGGATTTTTATCTCAGATGTAAAAAAGGGAACCTTATGCTAAAACATAATTACCTATTCAAAAACACTATTTTTGAAACTCATGCCTTAAGAAATGGTCAAAGTGTTATTTAGATTTAGTGCATTAAAAAAATTATTCCAGAGCCAGAAATATTATTAGTCAGTGGGAGCACAATAAAGGAAGGCTGGGCAATAAACTATGTGGAGCCTAAGCCTCCCGCTATTTTTTTGCACCATGTTAATACTGATGCAAATTGACTGGGGTTTCAGTGCCTGGTAGTCAGGGCTCTGGGAACATCGCGGCCCCCCCCCCCCCCCCCCCCCCCCCCGCTCCAGTCCCTCCTCTGCTGAGCCCTGCCATTAATCACCACTCGCCTGTCTCGAGATCTCCCACGGTTTGGTCACGGCTCCAAGGTCACAGGCTGTCATTAACATTGATCTGAAAAACAGAACCAAATAAAACAGCCTGAATAATCTTTTGTTGCACTGCTAAACAAACCGTCCTGGACACATAAATAAACAAAATGGAGCGGAGGTAAGCTCACATCTTTTCCTCAACAAGGGAAGCCCTGTTTGTGGTCCCCACGTTTAGCATCTCTGTCCTGAGGCTACGCGGCTCCGGAAGACAAAGCTCGAATGCTCCCCTGGCTGCCCTTTGTTTTGTCTGGAGCAGATGGAGGAAAGCAAAGCGTGCCTTTCTCTATACCTGAGGGAAGCATGCTCTGCCTAAAATAATTTGTAATGGACAAGGCTTTGTATTCTTAACTATCAGCAAGGGATTCAGTATATCATATTGTATACATAGCTGATGAATCTAATTACCAGCTATCACTGATGGATGAGAATGGAAGAAAATCCACACCAAAGATGTGAGGCACATGCTGCATTAGAAGCTCCTCTTCACCTCCAGGGAGCTAAGATATATGGGTAAGGGCCACACCGTTTTTCTCCAGCTTCCTGCCTGGCTGCAACCGTGTGTGATAAGGGTCACAAGGAGACATTCAGCTACAGCTTTCGTGAATGGGAGCATGTTAAGAAAGCACAGGAAAGATCCGAATCAGATTGTGGAAGAGCGGGTTTCTATTGGGTTTAACTGGAATTCACACTGAGCTGTGGAGAAAATGCAGAGGACAAAGTCAAATTGTAGAGAGCTCAGGGGTTTATAACTGGATATGGAGGGAAAGGGAAAAATGAAATACACTCTTTGTCCCAAATCTGCTTTCTTTGTACTAAGAGCAGCAGAAAGTGATGAAAAGTACTGACGGATCCGGGCTGGGAAATCACATCGTATCCGGCTCCTTGTGGAAGAGAGGGTGCGTTGTTACAGGTCAGAGGGCAGTCCTGATGTCAGGTGTTAACTTTCATACCCGCCGGTCCCCGGGCCTTGGAAGCATGTCTGCTTCCCAGATGGCGGAGCATGCCTAGGTGGTGGTGGGCTTTGTGCAGCTCCACCAGGAAATCCCTCCAGGGATCAAGCAGAGGGCTCACACAGGTCATTCAGAACACAGCCAGGCACACAGGCATCAGCCCTTGGGGAGCCAGGCGGTATCTAATCCCAACACCCATGTGCTAGGTAAGCACTACACAGAGACACCAGTCTGTTCTTCAAACTTGATCTTCTGTAACAAGCACTTCCACAGCCCATGGTTTGCCTGCCTCTGTACGAGGTGGTCTACCAACTAACTCCTAACTAAAGGAATACTTATCACAACCCTCTGAGGTAGGCAGACATCAGACCTCCTCTTGCTACCCTCAGATGCTTCCCGTTTTAGATTCTGCTGGTACCAGAAGGGAACATGATTGTAGGCAACGCGTTAGAATTTGCCATCTCTCTCCTGGGCAGGAAATAATCTCTCTAAACTTGCCTATTTTTACCATAGCTTAGATGATTACTTAGATTCCATCTGTTTGAGAATTTGAAACTTACTTCTCAAATTCATGTTCATATCAGCATTAATCAGTTAATCAATAAGTTCATTGTGTACGTGCTAGGTGCTGTAATGATGATAATTCTAATAGCTACCACTTATTGAGCAGCCTTACAGGTAGACATACTATTATTATCTCTATTTTACAAAGCAAACAGTGATCAGAAAGCTTGTGTGGAGAGCATCTACAGAGTTTGGACAGGTGATGGTCCAAATCTGTGGTCCCACGTGGCTGAGTGATATAGGCTGCGGGAGGTGCAGCAAGTAAACAAACCTTGATCAGGTACATGTAATTGAGTAGATTTAAAACTCACAAGAATGTTGTAAACATCTTGACCATGCCTTTACTTTGACTAGTGGAATCTGGTTATAAAATAAAGATTTGGCTTGCAGGCCATGGCGCTGTCTCTCCATCAGAGAAGCAGCGTCACACCTAGACCCAGCTTTATTCTCTTGTCTGTCTTTTCTAAATCCTTCACTGCCCCCTCTCAGGCTCACCGAACCTGGCTGTGCTGGTGCAGCACAAGCTTGCTCGATATTACAGCTAAGAAATATCAAAGCTAGGATTGATATTGATAAAGTCTGGCAAAGGACCCTCTACTTTCAATGAATACTTGGCAGTGGAGCAGAAAGACTATACAGAAAAGGAAGACAGAAAAGGGCTGGGGAGTGGGTGGAGGATGGTGGGGTGTCTGAAGCCCTTATTTGATTGGCTCTGGGAGTTAATTAAGGTTGAGGGCTCAGAGGGACTTGGTGAGGCCTTCAAGAAGAGAACTTGAGGTGGTAGATAAGGTTTGAATAAGGAGAGAGTGGAAGCAGGAAACCAGTTGACAAGCATAAGTTGATAAGGGCCTACAACAAAGAAGGGCAGGGGGAATGGAAGGGCAATAGGGTGGGAGATCCCACAGGAAGAACTGAAGGAGAATGAGCAGTTTTATTTGTTTTAATCTAGCCTCTACACCACGTTAACAGGTTTTTTTGTTTGTTTGTTTGTTTTGTTTTTTACTCCGAAGAGAGTAGGAAGGGAGTTTGTACCAACTGCTTTAGTCTCATAATTCTAGTCCAATTTACAGTTAAGGGGTGTCAACCTGCTCAGTGCGATTGGACGAATGAGTGGTCAGGCACGAGTCTCTGTCCTAGTGGGGTGGGTGAAGAAGGCAACTGCATTTAGACACCCAGCCCTCACAGCAGGTCATTTATCACACCTCTCCTCTACGGGCCAGCAGTAATTCAGTAAGGATCTTTCTTGACTTGTCTTCTAGTTTTAAAACAATTTGCAACCTAAAAGGAATAAATCTTAATTTTAAAGATGTTCAAATTCAATAAAAGGTTTCATGTATGAACTGAATTTTGCACTTACTAAACAAAAATATTCTACCTCACAATTTGCACTCTATCATTGCTTTAGACTCTGATAGTGCCACAATGATAGTGCAGTGATGGTAAGATGGAAAATACATAACTTGAGTTTTTCAATTCTGTCATTTCATGTGACCATTTGAGGAGAGGTGGTTATTTGTGTTTATATTCTAAAGCCGTGGTCAGCAAACTCATAAGTCAACAGAGCCAAATACCAACAGTACAACGATTGAAATTTCTTTTGAGAGCCAAGTTTTTTAAACTTAAACTTCTGCTAATGCCACTTCTTGAAAATAGACTTGCCCAGGCCGTGGTATTTTGTGGAAGAGCCACACTCAAGGGGCCAAAGAGCCGCATGTGGCTCGAGAGCCACAGCTTGCAGGCGGAGGCAGAGGTTTCAGGGGGCTGACTGTATACCTGGACATTCTTGGAATTAACTTACATGTATGATACATTTATAATTAATGCATAAGTAGTAATATGCAACTTCGAAGCTTTCCTGTAAATTATGTTGATACTCAATAGGAAATGTCAGCAATTGTTTATAATTCGTACCAACAATATATTTTTCTCAGGAGTATTTCATCATTGACATTGTTTACATTGCAGGCACATGGTGATGATAAAAAACAAAAACAAAAAAAACCCCTAACGTTTAGTTGGTTTTATTACTACTTTAAAATTCCCTAATAGTGCTCTCCAGAGGAGCACTCCCCATCTCGCCCCGCCTTGGTGCACATGGTCAGAGTCTAACTGCAAAAAGAGAAGGGAGGGCAGAGCTAGGGGGATGGACCTCCTGGAGCACCTCTGTTTCACATATACTTCCAGGTAGTTTATTATTTTTTTAAATTATTATTTTTTACATATGAGATCCCCTGCCAAAAGTATTTGAAAATCTGCAGGAGAACCCCCAGGTGGATATGAGGAATAAGAACTGGCATTTTAGGAGTTATGCTTAGAGGAGGCCAGGCCCAACAAAGTGGAGGTCACTTAAGAGGAGATGGCAGCTGAAGCTGGAGGGTGCTCAAAAAGAAGAATAACAAACCCAGGTCCTTGGGGGATAGTTACACATAGGTTACAGTGGGAGGTGGAAGCCTGGAAAAGAACAGAGAACAAGGACAAGGAAGAGTCAGAAAGGAAGTGGCAAGTCCAGAAGAGCAAGGCTTTGCAGAATCCAAGGCCGGAGAGAATTTTAAGAAAGGAAAAGCCAACACAAGTAGGAGCTTATGAAGAGATCAGGGAACCAGAAGAGAACAAAGGCTGTAGAATTAGATTCCTGGGAGCTGACAGATGACTTTCAAAAGGAACAGAAATCACATTCATAGGCTAAATTCCTCTATAGGGAAATGGCTAACTACTCTGTGCTGAATCTATATTTTGGAATACTATAGAGCATTAAAAGATGATGAGGTATGAACATGAAAAGAATTCCAACACATATACTCTGTTTCCCCGAAAATAAGACAGTGTCTTATATTAAATTTTTCTCCCGAAGTTGCGCTAGGTCTTATTTTCAGGGGATGTCTTATCTTTCCATGCACTAGGTCTTATTTTCGGAGGATGTCTTATTTTCGGGGAAACACGGTAGTTGAGTGAGCAAGCAAGTTCAGATTGACATGCAAATGCAGAATTATATTAAAACAGATAAATTCTTACTAGATAATGTTTTCCAATGGTTCATGTGTATGTCCATGCTTTAGAAATTATCTGGACAGTTACAACTAACTGATAGCACAGCACAGCTATGCAGCAGTGTGGGGATTAGGAGTAAAGCTCAAAGAAGAATTGGAAGTGTATTGTAATGGTTTAATTTGTTACAGAAAAATACATTTTTATATTATTTGCGGAATGAAAAGGTACTTAAAAAGAAAGAAATTGCCTTGTAAGAAGTTAATAGGAGTTGTAAGGGAAGAAGAGAACTAGGATTGGAGCTTGAGAAGAAGGTAGATTTTAGGCATGAATTTTTTGAGGAGATGGAAACCTATTTTTAGAAAAGTCATAATGGAAAAAAAAAACACAGCAGATTTTGAAAATGCAAGTAAGAGAATACAAACAACAAGGTCGGAATGCAGATGATGGTGGTGGAGGGGATGGAATTGTGACATTAGGATGGAAGTGGTGGTACTGGAAGGTTCTTCCTTGCCCTCAGGAAAGGACATAAAAAAGGTCTGTAAAGATAACAGAGAAAGAGCAATGCAGAGAGGGGTGGGGAACAGGAGGGCCCTCTGGGGAGACAGCGTGAAGAGATTGGCTGCAGGGGACAGTACAGGGGGAGCTTAAGTTCTGAAGGTGAAGGCAGAGGTTTCAGAGAGCAAACATGGGAAGGGGAGGTCTGATGGGGTCCCACTCGGGGCGATCCCAGCGGCTGTCTGCTGTGGAGCAGACACAGCAAACAATGATCCTGTCCTCACCATTCCCAGGAATAGTCAACAGCGCTGGAGTAGGAATAAGACAGCAGAAGGTTCATGATGGCTGAGGTGGGCATGGCAGAAGGCAGGAGACAGTATGACACAGAGAGAAATAGAGTCTCGCCAGCTGGTGGTTAAAATGTGCCACATAAAAATGATGGTTTTCGGCTGTCTCTTCTAAACAATCGGGAAGAAGTCATGTAAAAAATCTAGAACAGACTCCTTATTCCCACCACCAAAATGGTTCCCATTGGTTTTCTAGCTACAATAGCTGTTGTCTCTAAAGAAAAGCAACAGTGAACTCTGCTTTCCTTTATGCTGTGTGACTGTTTTCTGAGATTCAAACACCACCTCCCCCTCTTTCCCACCAACTTGCACACCCGTCTTCTCTGGAAAAAGATGAGGTCATGAGTTGCTAAAACTGAACCAATTTAAATATCATTTTCTAATTCTGAATGCAAATTTATGGAGAGGAGAGAAAAAATATAATACATTAGAAAACAAAAAGACATTGTCTATCTTTTCTCCAATTATTCAGCTAATTTCTTAGTCTTTGAGTGCAAGCTAAGATTTGTTGCTTTAAAAATCATTTGTATGCTCTTTGCACTGACTGGAAAGCAAAGCTAAATCCTCAAATAATGAAGAAACACAAACAAGAGCTTTCTCTTACCGAAATATATCACGATGGGGTTTGATGTTCCAATCATATTCTCCTTTACTGACAAGTTCAAAGAATTCAGTTCTCCTCCTGCACACAATCAAATGAAGAAAGAAAAACACACACCTGGAATGAAATTTCTCAGCCTGTGGGTGACATAATCACATTTATGGGAAAATATAAGACCACCTGAACCAAGTAACTTAATATTTGAAATCATGAGGCTAAAGCACTATCAAAATAAATCACTTCTTAAAAAACATTGAGGCTTCAAGAAAAAGCTGCCATAATTTCTGACTGTATTTACAACAGAGAAGATTATGGAGCCATAAAACTGAGAACATTTAGGATAACTTGCTGGAAGCTGAAAGTCGGAGAAGAAAGGCAAGGACAAATAAAACGCAGGGACAATTGTGCAGTGTTCTTGTGTCATTCAACATGGAACTGAGCTGTATGATAACCCAAGATAAGCTCCGGTCCCTGGTAGTAAATTCAGATGAATACTTTTTTCTAGGTAAGAGAATAACCATTTCAGCACTTTAGTGTTTAAACACATGAGCTACGGAGTGAAAAATAACTACGTTTAAGCAATGGGTCCAGGCACCTACTTGCTGTGCAACTTTGGGAAGCCACTCAAACCCTCTCAACTTCAATTTCCCAACCTCCAACACGGGAATTAGGTTTGCTAACTCGCAGTTATTGTGAGGATTACATGAGATGACGTGCAAAGCCCTCAGCACAGTGTCAGCACATTTTAAGTGCTGGACCCACCCACACACACACACACACACACACACACATACACGGATACACATTTGTGGATGTATAGATATGTGAAAGACAAGAGGAAATACTCCACAGTTGTGAAAACAAGGGGGATTTATTTCTATTTTCACCACTTTAATCTAATTAGATGACTTCATTATTTTTATAGTGAGAAAGAAAAAAAAAAACAACAAGAAGTCATTTTAAGCCTTTAAGAATTATTTCCTACATACCATTTCCCAAAGTACATCCCACAAAATATCAGTCTTAGGAGGTACTCCATCTAAAGGCAAGTGGGCTTGGCTTTCTTATCAGTAAAAAATAATATTAGTTGGATTTACATTGTTAAGGTTGGTGGGAAGATTAAGTGAAATTATTTGTGTAAAACATTGCATCGGATACCTGGCACACAGTAGGTGCTCATAAGGATTAACTAGTATTATGCTCGGAAGGGCTGAGTTCACTGGCCCAGTGTTTTGCAGCTGGTGAGCAGCGGAGCTGGGCTACAAACAGCCTGTTAGAATAGCAGCTGTTTCAAGCAGCTACGGTATGTCCCAGGTGTCCTGGGAGAACAGAGCAGGCTACTCATCTCAGGTTGAAAAATCGTAGATCATGAAAGGCTTTCTGAAGAAGCTTGTCACCATCCCTGTCATCATTGTACCTGGTGTCATTTCAATCCTATGAGTTATTCTAAAAATCACCAGACTGCTAGCTCCAAGAGGACAAGGACTTGGTCCATTTTTGCTCCCTCCCAGATCCCCAGTGCCTACAACAGTGCCTGACATGCAGGGGGTTAGTAAATGTCTGTTGAATTGATCCATGAATGAAAAAGATAATCTCATAATACTATTCACCTAAAAACATAACTTTCAGCTACTAGTTTCACCTAGATTCTAATTGTGCTAGGTCTTCACAGCTGCCATTTGGAGAGATTGAGATAAGAAAACAATATAAAATCTATTCAAGAAAAGCCCGTCAGATTCTTGAAGACTAGATTCTAACTTGAACCATAAGTTCTAGGAAATTTAAGAACACCATTGTCTGACCTTCCACTGAGTATTGTTATGTCTACTGAGAGCATATTAGAGGTATGAGACTCATTTTTGATGCAAGGTGGAGGTATAGGCACTTAGGTGGCTAACTCAATACAAAAAAGTATATTTTAAAAATACAAATCTATTACATGCCAACTAAACAGAACCATAGAATAAATTCCCCAATGATGGAAAGTTTAATAGCTAGAGTTGCTGGTGTGAAAGTTTTAAATCAACTAAACCCCAAATCAGTCTGTAAACTTTCCGTCACATTATAACAAAGCTAGATTTTACTGACAAAAGGGAATAGCCACTATCCCTAGAGGATGGCAGGAAGAATTTCTTGCATAGGACACAGAAGAATGTGGCATACTAATTTTATATCCGCCCCCCCCCCCCCCCCCGGGCACACACTGACTAACCATGAATTTCTTAAGAGGCTCTATTTATTCTGGCATCTCAAGGTTTGGCTATGACCTCATATGGGAATAGGAGACTTCCTGTACAACATAGTTTTATCAAGATGAAGATGGAAAAAGTCCAGTCATTGGTGGAACCATGTACGTCATGTTCATATAAGTGACAAATAGGTGCTTTAAAGTTTAAACCAAAGTGCATTTAAAATTTTGTTTTAAGTTTCTGAAAACTAACGTCTTGAAAGATGAAGATGGGGTTCATCATTTTCATAAGGCAAAAGGTTTTCTGAAGTGATGATATGCAAAGGTCAAATAACAATATATGCCTCTCTCTCTCTCTCTCTCTCTCTCTCTCTCTCCACAACACACACACACACACACACACACACACACACACAAGTGTGCATGTATGTGTAAAACTGCTGGGTCATAGAATGTTTTATTTTTTATATTTAACTCGAGTTTTCATTATTATACCACTGTTAGAGGTATACAGGCTAGGGCAAAAGTAGGTTTACAGTTATTTAGTATGTAAAATTAAGTTTATTCTTATATTATTATTTATTAATTATTATGTTATTTTCTATATGAACAACTTATAAATCTACTTTTGTCCCACCCTCTATGAAACTTTTGAGAACAATTTACTGTAACTCTGTCATTTTGCAGGTGAGGAAACTCAAGGTAAAGAAAGACGAAGCTGAATTGCTCAGGGTCCCAGGGAAGTTGTGGGAAGATCTAGGTAGATTCCAGGTCCCCAGCCTCCCAGACAGTCCTGCGTGTTGAGAGGATATGGAAAGCAGTGGCTGAGCCCCTTCTTGAGATGTCACGGCACCATGGACTGCTGTACTAGTATCCAGTCCCATGGCAGGCACCACATGAGGGGATGCTCCAAAGAAGAGCTGCAGATGGCCCAGGCCAGCTTGGGTCCATGGCTGGTGGTTTATTTCTGAACTCCTCCTTAGTGACAATCATTACAGAACAACAATGTGAAATTCACTGTGCTTTTAAAAAATGAATTTTCCCACAAAGTTTTGTAGCATCAAAATGTGTGTGTGTGTGTGTGTGTGTGTGTGTGTGTGTGTGTGTGTAGATTTTTATAGAGTTAACAGCATGATCATTTGTGTCCACAATCCTATCTAATAAAAGAGTAATATGCAAATTAACCGTCACTCTGAGACAAAGATGGTGGCACCCATAGCGGCTGGGCAGTACACTGGCAGCATCGCCTCTGGCAATGCAAGCCCAGCAGGCAAGTGCAGCCTACAGGCAGCACCCAGCAGAGTCTGCTTGCCCATCTCTGTGGTGTGGAGCAGGCAGGCCCTGCAGAGAGCAGAGAACCACAGGGAGTGGGCCTAAGACGTCAGTAGGACATCCCCTGAGGGCTCCCAGATTAGAGAGGATACAGGTTGGGCTGATGGCCTCCCCTCCCCCCACATGAATTTTGTGCACCAGGCCTCTAGTATTATATATAAAACTCCCTGGATCTGGACTCCTCTGCCACGGGAACTAATATCATCACCTTCTCAAGTACAATCCTGAAAACCTTGTTTTTCAGGGACAATGGAAAATACCTCAGCTAGTGAAAAGCAGCTTACTGGAAAATCTCATTTATAATCAGATATATTTTTATTAGGCTTTTATCCTGCTCTTGACATACATTCCACTGAGAAAAATATAGCAGCCTTTACAAAAGCATCATTTGAACAGAACTGCTAAAATTACCCTCAAATATAATTGGAAAGTTTAGTTACCAGTCACCCATCACTACATTGAAAATCTTTCTGGTTTTTAATTTATCTGCAAGGCACTCTTCATTGGTAAAGTGAGAAATCACCATTCTTACACACACACACACACACACACACACATATATATATATATATATATATATATATATATATATATATATATATATATATAAATTTATATATTACATATTCTTTCCCTATTTATCTAACTGTTCTGAATCTACCAAGAGTCTAAGAGCCCAGGAATGTTAGGAGAGGTGGCAAATCATGATTGTGACTCTCCTGAAAGTCCAGCCCCAGGGTCATTAGGTAGGGAAGGCAGGAGTGGGCCACTGGGTGGGTGCAGGGGAGGAGCTGGATGCTGTTCTCTCAGTGTTCTCACAGCTCATTCAACAGGCAAGAGTACATCTGCAACTGATTGCTAAATGCAGATTCTGAGAGATTTGGATGTAAAAGCACTGACAAAGTGTAAATTAATATGCAGATGTTAACTCCAATAGTTATGACTAAAGAAACAAAAGTCATATATTAATTTGGAAAATGAATTATGTTCCTGGTTAAGTAGTCTGATAATATAAGGACTAGCTAACAATCCCATAAGTGCAGAGAAAATGGCAGAGTAGTTCAAACATTTTGGAGCCCAACTACTTGGCATCACTTTCAGCTTTATTATGTAATATTGTGAGCAATTTATTGAATCTCTCCAAACCTCAGTTTCTTCAGGTGTGTTTGAGCTCAAACATAGTACCTATTCTGATGGGACTGCTCTAAATATTAAATGGGATAATGTGTATATAAAGCTCCCAAGTAAGCATTCAGGAAATATTGTTTTTATTAGTGTGGAAGCTGTGAAAGTTGCATAGGTCATCTGCGTTGACTTCCATGCAAATAGTACAGGGCATTGTGATTTCCCGTTGATATTTTAATTCATGTAATTTTGGTTCTCTCTCTTTGCAGAACTTAAGTGTCATCTATAATTATAGAAATTTTATTTAGCTTCTGGCTCAATGGGTCTTTCATTTATAAGGTATTTTAAATTATCAAAGTTATCAAATTTAAATTATTTAAATATTAATTGTTTAGATTATTTAAATCTTACTTATTTAAATTACCAAGTTATCTTT